GACTGCATCAATACAAACGCGCGATTGCATCGCTACACTTGCGATTTATAGGCGATTGCATCGCTACACTTGCGATTTATAGGCGATTGCAAACACGCGACTGCATCGATACAAACTCGCGACTGCATCGATATGCGATCGCGCGTTTGCATCGCTGCTAAAAGCTCTTAAACTGCATGACCATCTGTCGTCGCGACTAATAGGAACGCGCTCTTTCTAGAACTTAATTTTGCAGTACGGACATCTACCAGTGAATTCTCCGGACCCTACTGCTATGTATATGGGTTAAACAGTATTGCCCTTATTTAATTTTAGGTACAGAACAAGAAAGAAAATATGCCCGTGCCATAATGCCTGTGCGAGACCACGGAAATTACCTCCTATGCAGTATCTTACTGGGAAATGTAGCTGTAAACTCGACTTTTACAATATTACTGGACGAATTAACCAGCGGTCTTTTTGCGGTGATATTTTCCACGTTGGCTATCGTACTGCTGGGTGAAATAACGCCGCAGGCTATTTGCTCTAGACACGGATTGATGGTTGGAGCCAGGAGTATTATGATCACTAAGGTAAGTGCAATAAGGTATTAATTACAATTCAAAAAATTCCTTTATATCTCAAAATTGGAGTTAACCCGTCACACGTCGTAGAGACACCTTGTTCCTACGATTTTGGTACTGTAGCATCCTATAGCCTAGATATGAGTTCCCCCCGCTCCGCAGCCGCCGACAAATGCAATAGGCGCGCCGATCGTACGCACGCGCATCTTTCTGTATTGTGTATGGACGACGCCAGAAATTGACATTTATAACAAAAATCTTAGTGAATTTATATTCGAAGATGTTTAGTTTAAAACATCAGTTTGTCAATTTCTGGCGTTGACATTTTCACTACGCATAGACAATACGGAAGCGTGCGTACGATCGGAACGCCTGATGGAACTGATAAAAATTTGATTAGGTACTATAGAAAATACGTTTTATTTTTTCCCTTTCAAAAAATATTTGTATAACGGTTTTTGTAAAAACAAACACCGTTATACGAAGTCGTTTCATGGTCGCCCTAGCGCCGTCGAAACGCCGCCGCCGCCGACATTTTTTCGTCTATTATCGGCGCTCATATCTGCTCCAGCCACAAGGTGCATTTTTATCGCGCAGTTGTGTTTTCAACCACCATTAAAAAAATAAAATTCATAAAAATGTTAAAAGTGACATCTCTAGTCAGCGGCTGGTAGCTGTAAAGGTACCTGGCTGAGTGAAGAAAAACTTTCGTAGATTTGTCACAAATGGCGCTACGGTAAAAAAGTCATTAAAAACTAAAAACAAAGATCTGCAATAAACACATGAAAACACTCGTGAGGTCCGTTGGTTCGTTCCGTGGCTTAGTTCGCATAGCGTCGGGCACGGTTTGCTGGGAGACGTTGGTTCGAATCCAACCGAATCGAAGTGAATTTTTTTCTAAGTATCTAATCTTTGTTTAATAATTATAACAAACTAGTAGAGTAATTTCATAAAAAAATATATGAATATCATCGTGGTCACATTGAATAAAACATAATTAAAATATAAAAACTATTTCAATTTTTTTTTATTAATTTACGAAAATTTGTAAGTAAAATACCAAAATAGTTAGTCCGTTAGGGGCACTGTGTGTCACTAAGATGCGTGACGAGTTAACCCACGACCGATCCAGACGTGGTTAACACGACCAAATTTGATGACGTCCTAAAGAAAGACCAGGTGAAATTACCCTTAAACGTGCGTGTGTTGTACGAGCGTGTATGTACTGCCAAATTGGGGACGTCCTAAAGCAAGGCCAAGTCAAGAGTACCTTTAAGCGCAGGCCACACCGCAAACGAAGCTATCTAACTTAGCTTAGCTTACGTAGTTGTATGCCATCGAGTATATAACTAGAAATAGATACGAATTAAAAGCCATCCATCCCTGGCAACTCGTCAGTGATACATCACTTATAAATATAAACTCTCATTTGCACTGAAATATACACAGTGCCAACAATTCACCTGTGTGTACGTCTCCGTATATTCCAAAAATATTCTATATTTATTGTAATAAAGATAATATCTCTAACGATAGCGTGCTGTTCCATTCGGTAGTGTGGGGAAAACCAGCAAAACATCTAACTACAAAACAAACGGAATCAAATTTCATCGGTAATTAAATATATAATTGTCCGCCATTATAACAAAGCCCCAGTTAAACTGGTCGATTTGAAGTGAAACAATTGACGACACTCGTCAATTGTTTCGAATTCGGGCTGGCCAATCGGAGCGCAGTTGTCGCCTTAATGATTTGGCAGATAGTTTTCAAACAAATTAAATGACTTTTCGTAGATATTTCTGGTTATATACTCGATGATCAGCGCAAACTCTGCTTACGCTAAATAATATATTTTTGTTTTTTAATAATATTAAGTAACGGGACGAACAAGTCGTGCGCCTGAAGCTACGCTACACGTCTATCCATAACAGTTGCAGTGCCGCTTAGAGCTTTAAATTGCAAAGATCTGAGGGGCACTGCCACTGCACCCATCACCCTGAGACATAAGTTGACAAGTTCTGTGTGCCTGTAATTTCACCAGCACCCTTACCCTTCAAAACCGGAACACAGTAATTCTGACATTACTGGACGAACTCTTTCACAGTGAGCTCTACTGCTTCTGATACTAATTATTCCGTAACGTACGTGAGTTTACAAGGCATGTTATTTAAAATATTTTACAAATCATATGTAACATAAATTGGAATATGTTTATATATGTTGTACATTAATAATTTTTGTAACTATGCTTCAGAATACGATGGTTTGCTTTAATATTACACATAACTGGTTGATGACCCATACCATTTTAGTCACCCGTGGCCATGAGATCTGAAAAAAAACCCGAAACGTTGGTTAGTTTAAATACAGAAATATGCGTTTTGTTACATCCGAAAAAATCAAACATATAACTGGTTGATGACCTACACCATTTTAGTCACCCGTGTCCATGGGACCTGAAAAAAGTCCGAAATTTTGGTTAGTTTAAATAAGGAAATATGCGTTTTGTTACATCCGAAAAAATCATTCAGCATGTCTAGAAAACGTCATTGAGTTTAATTAGTGAACACCTGAAATAGAATCAAACTGCTTTGTATGGAACGCGCGTGCTAAACAATCCTTTTACGTAGGGACTCAGAGGTAACAGTCACACGCATGCAAAAATGAATATAAAACGAACGCCGATAACGTTAACTTTACAATGTACCGGTAACGAAAAAAACATTGTGAATTCTAACATCTGCTTGCAAATTCCTGATAGCGTACCCCAAACCAGCGGTCCTCAAACTTTTTCGCTTGGTAAACCCCCGTCGACTTCTAATGTGACAGCTGGGGGCCTACCACAACCTCTTAAAACAATATTTCTTTAACCTTCCATTTGACTTTTCGTACCATGACGCGCTTCAAGTACCTAAGCTTATTATAATGTTAAAACTATGATGTTTTATTGGCAGTTTTGTGACTCAATTCGTGTTTAAAATGTTTGGGTATTTTTTGTTTTTTCGTCTTTTTTGTATTGCGGTCGCGAAAATGAGTGCTACTGAGAAGAGCTATAACGAAAATACAGTAATAGATACACATTCAAACACAACATCCAAAGTTCAGCAAACTACTATTAATATGCCTGGAAAAACAATAACGTTTTCTATTAGCAATTGTATTGTATTGTATATTAATTAATATTTTTTTACTTTTTTTATAGTATACATACATCTTCCTCTCTTTCACAACTCATGCTTCGTCCAGCAATCCCTTATTTTCTGGCCTCTGCAATAATGTAGTAGAACTGTAGAGTGAAAATATTAAAAAAAGACACATGTTATTATATATTTATTAATCGTTTTAATTTTTTTTTTAAATTAACTCGTTTTAATTAATATTTAATTAAAACGAGTCATTAAGTTTTCCGAATGCTTATCTCCATAATTATCTTAATTACGTTTAATGAACATACATGTTTTTAAAAAATGATGATTTCGTACCACTTTTGAACAAGGTCATAGATAAATTATTTGAAATAGTTTTAAATTCAACTCTTTGACACTTATCGAGTTCTTAGGTTTTTGCGATTGTTACACATAGGAAGTCAACCGTGACTATGGGTAACCTGTAAAGGGCCCTAAACGTTGGTTTGTTTGAAAAAAAAAAAAACAAATATACGCGATTTAAATCCGGAAAAATAGTTTCATTTCCTATGTGTAACAATCACGAAAACCTAAAAACTCGATTTACATAGATAACTAAAATATAACTAGATGAAATGAAATTTACGTTCTACAATTTTTTTATGGACAACAGTTTATTTATGGAAATCCAAAATTTTTGTCCCGACTTGCCTAAACGAGATCCTCTCCCGTGGACTCATTTATATCATATATATGCTGTCATAGACCAATTGTAGACATTGTCAATCTAAAGGGGTCGATATTCTGCCACTTTGGGAATCATTGCTTTAGATCGTGCGTCCCTGCGTTTTACAATTTTATTTCACGATTGTATTTTTTTTAATTCGCTTTTTTGTTCACCAGCTGTAATAAAACCAACCTTATTTTTACTTCCTGAATATTATTCCTATCGTGGCAGATACTTGTGCTCTCGTAAAGATGCGTTTTATCGAAAGAGGTGGTGGCCATTACCAACACTAACAACCGTGATCCTGATCACGGTTGTTAGTGTTACAACCCTTTCAACTTGAACCTTTTCAAGGCGAGAGTGAATAGGCATTATTTCCGTGTGCATGCTACATCGTCGACCTCATCGTCACTTTCTACCAGGTGAGATGGAGAATAAATGCGCACTTACTTTTTATAAAAATAAAAAAGTTGTACTGTTGTACGGTGTACGCCATTTCACACATAAATCACAAATGATATTAAGTACGCAATTTATTATAGTGACTGTTTTTGTAATGGTTGAATAGGCGACGTGGCGCGTGCGTCATGCAAGATGCGTCTAGGAATGCATTACGTGTCACGCGTGTGGTGTTCATGTTGCACGTATCACACTGTTAATACAATAGTGTATTAACTCAAAAAGAGGACTTTCTCAGAATCGATGAGAGACGAATTACTCACTTCCCGCAAAAAAAATCATTAAAATTTATATTTTATGGTTTATTATTTTATATTACACTTAAACAATTTCTCAAATAAATTTAAAAATAAAATGGAAAAAATGATGTCATGTTTTTGAATAAGGATTATTTTGGCTAGAACTAGCTCACATAAAGTGTGTTTTATTTTGAGTTAAGTAGATATCTTTTGATTGTTTCTTACAATATTCTAACGACGGTTTTTTTTGGCGTGTAGAGAATCAAGTTTTACGTTCAGTAATGATATAATATTAAATTTCACATATTTTGAGTTACAACACTATTGTAATAGCAGTGCGATATGTATAATGATTATTATTGGTACAGAGATCTTCTTTATAACATTTTAGTAGCTCCTTGTGAAAGAGCGAAGTACTCCAGTCGTCCAGCGAAGTACTACCACCTTACCTATTCCTGC